AAGAACTCAGCTAACAGATGTTTCCGTATATAAAAGCCATCTTCAAGTTTTGTTTACCAAAAAAACGTTTCAAATTATATTAAAGTGCTATTAAACGCGTCCCCCCCCCCAACAACTGTGGTATTTTAATTACAATGATATATTAACAACGACGAGTTTAGGTTTCTGCAATGAATGAACAATCTCTAAAGAGGCTAACCTGGTGGGATAAGAAGGCACACACGGTCACGTGACTCCCTCCTCGTTCTCTCACTGCTGCTTTATGTGGTTCACATAGTAGAAAATTACAGCAATGTTTTTAAAGGTCAGAATGAAAAGATTTGTTTTACTGCTGTTGTTTGTAGTTAAATCGACTATCTGTGCCCACCACGGGTATCGAAACCCGATTTTTAGTGACATAAGTCCAGAGACTTGCTATTGAGCCAGTGGTGAAGAGGAGCTGATTAGTAGGTGTGAATAGAAAAACTAATATAACTACATGAAGAAAGACCTACATTATTTTGTTAACATATCATCGCTAGTTCTATCCGCCTTCTCCCTTTTGTTTTAGTTTTATAATTTCCTGCAAAACGAGATATAGGCAAATAACTTTTCCTTTTCCTAAAAACAAAAAATGTCAAACTTAGAATATTTTAATACTCTCTATTGTTAGTGTCTTTATAATTTGGTGAAAAACTGCTAAACATAAAAAACATGCACCTAGGACGGTGAACGAATACTCTTGCTAAATTTACTTCAAATACTAAAGTCTAAATAATAACAAAAAACTTTATTTCAGCTAACGTTTCGCTATTGCGACTTCATCGGGGCTAATAGTACAAGAACTTATGTAATATTTGCTTGTTTCGGGTCTTCGCGAAACGCTACAAAAGAGCTATCTGCGCCAAACGTCCTTGATAGATTAGAGAGAAGGCAGGTAGTTCACGACATCATCCGTCGATCGCCAACTGTTGAGCTACTCTAATCGAATAGTGGGGTTTGACCGTCACTCTTATAACGCACTGACTGCCTCAAAGTGCAGAGCGCGATTTTATTTTTCAGAAACTGGAAGCAAACCATGGATCCGTGGATCCACAGTCCAGTAATGCTAGTCATTAGGTTTCTCATGTAAAGCAATGACCCCTTCACCCTCCTGAACAGACCCTCTAAATTAGAATTAAGATACAAAAGTCTAGTCCAGTAGCATAGCTACTTTCTTTATCACGAGAAAAGATGTTCAACGGACTTGCATTTGTCAGATATCACACATGAAAAATTTTATAAAGTAATTGTTTCAGATATCACACATGAAAGATGTTATTAAGTAATCGCTTCAGATATCACACATGAAAGATGTTATTAAGTAATTGTTTCAGATATCACACATGAAAGATGTTATTAAGTAATCGCTTCAGATGTCACACATGAAAAATGTTATCAAGTAACTGTTTCAGATACCACACATGAAAAATGTTCTTAAGTAATTGTTTCAGATATCACACATGAAAATGTTCTTAAGTAATTGTTTCAGAATCACATATGAAAATTTTTATTAAGTAATTGTTTCAGATATCACACATGAAAAATGTTATTAAGTAATTGTTTCAGACATCACGCATGAAAAATGTTATTAAGTAATTGTTTCAGATATCACACATGAAAGATGTTATTAAGTAATTGTTTCAGATATCACACATGAAAAATGTTATTAAGTAACTTTTTCAGATACCACACATGAAAAATGTCATTAAGTAACTAATGTCAGTATACAGTACACTTTTAAGTATATATATTTATAAAAATATTAGAGGCTCCCAAACCATCGAGTTTTTTGTTTAACCATAAACATTTTTTGTTTAATCTGAATCAGCCGGTAAACATTGTTCTTAGACCCACTGCAAGACACACATTTTAATAACAGGTTTCTTTGTGGTAAAAGCCTACCGCAATTTGAAGTTAAAAAAAGTTACCTGTCATTAATCAGATAATTTTACTGCCAAAAGAGAACCGCCGGTAGGGGAATTTTTTTTTTTATTAGTCCCGAATGACGAATTTTACAACCAGTTAGAGGTTATAACCAAGGTTATTTGATTATCGCGATAATTAAGTTATTTGTTCTGTAGTAAACGTGTTGTATTTACTTACATACGCACGGTAGAACAAAATCGACGTCGTATTAATTATCTCGTGCAGAATTCATGCAAAAATTAAAAACGGCATTGAAAATTGGGGCATTTACGCTTTTCGTATTTCATTTATTATTTCAATAGTGAATATTACCGAAATTCATTTTCACCGTATTTAATTAAACACACAAAATTCAGAAAAATACGAACAACGTAAACATGGAATGGCAATTAAACCTTATAGAATTGTAAAGATCTAAAATGTGAACGTTTGACGAGTTTAAAGTGGAATGACTTTAGCATTTCGGCTACTCTAATAGAATTACATATTTTGGCAACCACCTACTTAGATTATTTATTATTTCAGGGGCGTAGCACAGAATGTTTGGACCCCCCCCCCTCTCACTGCGAATTTTTCCCATCGGGCCTCCTTCATACCCGATTTATTAAAGCTTGGTGGGCCACGCTTTAGCGTGCTCTCCCAACCCACACCCGGGGTC